CCTATTATTGACCAACTAGTCCCTGCACGCTGACAGGCATACCTCTCTTAGATAACACGATGGCGTGAAGTTTATGCGGAACCTAGCCCGCCATCGCATATCAAGGCAATCATCTGGACCCCCCGGGCAGACACTAGAACCGGCCATAGCATGCCCCATCGGAGATCCTCTGACGTGGCGAGCGGTATGTGGTTGATCGAAGGGGAGGCCATATCCCTGACATTCATCTTACCGTCTGTCATAGCTTTTACGAACGCGTCCGAGTTGGTGGCCTGCCTCTCCGCGCATAATCAGCGTGGAATGCCTTCCCCCAGCCTATAGAGAGAGCTTCACACATCCAACCGATGTCACCGGTGAGGCCACGACGAGGGTATCCAAGGCGTCAGTGTTATGGTGTAGTCAATGCGGTGGCAAGATGATGCAGCATGCTTTCGTCAATCCCCTCAACCAGTCTGCCTTGGTATCAGATGAGGCAACAACTCCACATTACCGAGCCAATTGCTTCTCATCAGTTAGATTGATTTGTACGGCTATCATAAGTTCTCGATTGTACACTGGGAATCCATGGCATAGGGGCGGAAAAGTGAGTTTATACCAAATGATGCAAAAGGTGAGGTGCTGTTGTGGTGTCATCCGGCCTCTGTCGGATTCGCGTCGTGCACGGAGCCACACACCAGCCATCATAATAAACATAAAAACTGCGGCCGCAGCTGCGACCGCAAGTAACCTTGCAAATAGGTGCGCGATGAATGAACTTGTTGCTGATTCTACCTTCTTTGGGCTACTCTGACGTTGTGATGTGATTTCCAATCATTTTGACAGCAAACAATGGCCAGCAATGCGGTCTATCGACGACGAGCGTCGTCTCTGACCATGGCTCGACGTTGAAATTTGCTACATGGCACTCCGCACACACTTGTCGTCATGTGAGAGCAAAGCGATGCTGGGTATGGCGCGAGTACATGGGCAGCGAGGGCACTAGATGGCGAGGTCGCACGTAATTTTGGTCCCGGGACGAGCGAGTGCTGTGCTTGTGTGGGCCGGAGCTGCGGTCGCCGGCGCCCTTGTTGCATGGAGAGCCAAGCTGCGTGTTGGCGGATTGGCGGGTGCCACTTTGCGGTGGGTCAAATCGGCCTGGCCAGCTTGGTTGCATGTCCCCGCGCGATGAGGGAGATGGTTGGCTAGTGGGGGTGAGATGACTACATGTATGACGAGACTGTGAGGGTACTCTGGGAGCTGATGGATCGCATGGAAGCCTGGCACGCAGTCACTTCATGGAACACAGTTCTCGATCAGTCGGCGATGCTTTCTGGGTTGTGCATTCTCTTACTTCAGTATAGTACGGTTGTGTTGAGACTGGGCAATAGAGTCAGGCAACAGACGAGCCAGCCTCATGCGACTAACCTGCCCTCGGTGTGGGACGGCTAAGGTGGCGGGACCTCAGCCTGAAAGTCCTGCCTCGCCTTCGCTTTACCATTGAGAGAGCATGTGCATGGTGCTGGAAGACCTCGCTCGAGCACAGGAAACCGCTCAATGCAACCAACGTCTAGCCGCATATGCACCAACAAGAAAGGATCAGGGGACAGGTTCATGACCTGGCTGATTCCGCGCGTCTTCTTTGGCTAACCAGTATACGAGCTGCTTGTCAGACCGATGACGGCGACCGGCAAGTGGGTGAGAAACAAAGAGAAGGGCAACATGACGGAGATGTGTTGTCCATGCAAAGGGCGCGAGGGAAACATGTTTCGCATGATTGTGGGAACCGAGACAGTTGGGGGTCACTGGACTGGCTGCACAAAAATATGTTGATCCGGAAAAACAATTAGACACGAGACTTTGGCTGTCAGTTTGAGATATGTCATGCATGTGGCCCGGTTGAAACAAGGCGCGGCGACGGTGCCATATGAAGGCAAGCAGTTGAATCGTCCTGTCTGCCCTATGACGCAGGAAGAGGGGTACATGTCGGCCTTGTGGAACATTTGACCTCGGATCGCGGCGGTTGCTACTAATCTTTGTGCGTATGGCGACGCTAAACTTGATATGCTATGATGGAACATTCCCATCCAGCATCTAGAAAGAGAGGATCCGTTCACGTAGACGGAGTACGTGTTGATATACCGATAGAGCACCGTAGTCCGCTGAGCCGAGCATATGCATTGGGTAATTAGCCCGCCTTACCAGGCAGAGGAAGCCTCAGCAGATTCATCCTGCTACAAAGGTATAAACCGCCGCGAGGATCTGATTGGCATACAATGGTGAAATGGCCAGACTATCTCCGGCCTACTGGGTTCTAACGTCCGCTAGTCGCAACGTCTATCGACCGAATGAGCGGTGACGAGACAGAAGGAGAAGGACCGATACAACATGCACGGTAAGCGTGGGTCCTTGAGATCAGCGAAGTGGGGAGGGACGAAACGAAAACAATAACAAAAAAGGTCTGAAATTGGTCATTGAAAGGCGACGAAGGCTTCGTGAGCGTGGCAAGACTGGTGGTACGGCCATTCTCGTGGCCCGGCGCTTGACGAAACCACTCAACATTGGCAAGCGCCCACATTCCAAATGCCGGCTGTAAACAAGACCAAGCATAACAAACCTGGAAGCAATCGCCGTGAAGACGCAAAACTCGACCCATTAGCTCGGAATAAAGTCCGCACCTAATAACTGTGGGTGCAGCAGCGTGCGTCGTTAGCTTGCATATCGAACATTTCTAAGCGAGAGCAAGACAAATACCCTAGCCCCGAGAAACCGGCCACGAGCATAATGCTTGCGTGATGGTGATATGCCTATGAGGTGGGAAACGTGGGTGATGGGGATTGCTTGCCATGGCTGACGTCGGGATGTGTTAGTTGTAGCTTGTGGCTAGTTTCAGAATGGTAGCCGGATAGCGAGTCAGGTAAACCTACCTAAATGGCCGAGTTCGCTGTGTAAGAAGCTAGTACGGCGAATGCCTTCCGGGTGTATCCAACCTGTGGCTTGACGTCCTCTATTCCATACCGACCCCTCCTCTGATCGGAAAGATTTCCCCATCGTGGCACTCGCTTTGTTGATACCGGTGACCACGAGGGAGCTAACCATGTCGTTATACCCAATAGAGTTTAGGAAAGGGTTCCAGTCTAGAAGTTCTATGTACGATGGCGAACATGCTGTGGCTGAGTCTCTTGCAGTAGAGCTGGCTATCCCTGCCCATCGAGTACGGCTTCTGGCGGCCGAATGATGTGGAGCATTCAGCACCAGGATTGAAACGGCACAGTTGCTCTATACTTGCAACCTTGATGGAAATTTCTACAGATCAGACTTCCAGACGTCCTGGGTAAGAACCAATTGACGCGATAACGGCAGAACTCGACATATCAATGGGTAAGGGGGGCTTGCTGCGCCGGTACGCCTGCATATGAGGACATGTCACTCTGATACTTCCTTTCAAGTGGAGGATATATCTGACGAGCGGTGAACATGACACACGTACCTGCCATTCGTTGGGAAAGTCAGAGATCAGTTGCGAAGGATCTCTTGGCATCGTCCTGCTCCGAGTCCGGCGCCCTCCTCCGCACTATACATCTCCATGCTTCACGATGGTGACGGCCAATAGGCCATATCGGGTATTCCGAGGCTTCAAATCATCGTAGGCGTTGTTCACGAGGTACAGATCAGCCATCTGGTTATGCAAGGAGTCGATATGACGCGTCGGGTCTAGACATGTGGCCCAACAAGCTACATGCTGCATCTCAGCCCTGTGCCACGTTGCAAGAGGTTGTATATCGTATCCCGGACTATAACTCCATGGTACGGTTGTAGGAAATTCTCGGCAGTCGAGACCAGGTCCGTATTAAATGAGGCGTTCGCGGTGGTTGGGTTGTCGCGTCAGCGAGGCGGGTTTCGAGATTCCAGCTATGTGGCCAGTGTCGGACAAGAATCAGTACTATAATTCTCAGTAAGCTCCGGCTGAACACAAAGTTATATGAGCACATGAGCTGCTGATCTGCTGCGGAGCCGCTGCGAAGCTGGTGGTTTTGTCGAACGCCAGGGGTAGCCATTTGATGCTGCACTAGTGAGGATGACTAAGCAGGCGGCGCAACAACAACCTGGCGATTCTCTTGCGACAGAACTGCAACATATCCATCACCCGTTAGATGGGACAACTCGCTTTGGTACTTTGGTGATCTATTTGGCCCCTCATTTACTTTTACATGATACCAGTCATGGATATCATCATATTGGCAAGGCTTGCCATTGTTTTCGCACGACAGTGTCGCTCCCCTAGGTAACATCTGTGGTATCTTCTTTCCTCTGCGTTCCCTCCTCCCGCGGTGTGCGAAATCGAGATGGAAACTGTCACTCAATTCGCTTTGATCGGTGACAGAGAGATCTCTCCACATCAGAAAGATGCTCTCATCACCAAAAGGAGTACGTGCATATCTCCTGTAGAGTAGCACACTAGGTCATTGCATTACGGATGTTAGATTTTTTATGGATGGGATGAAGTGTCTATTGTCTGTCTCTGTCTACGGCTCTGTCTGTGGGAGGTGGCCTCGCCTCGGGCTTGGCAGTGCTAAGTCCCGGCGCTAGCCCTGGTTTGGGGGTCTCATGTCCTTCCCCAACCACCATCGGCTCGATCATGGAGCAAAACCTCGCCTCAATCTGACAATGGACAAAACTTATAGACATCCGCCCAAAGCACCTGCACGTCAGAAATCCAATCTACAGATTCTGGCCTGTAACTTTACGTCCGAAAATGTAAGAAGATGTGCCTTTGATAGATCGTAAATCATCGTGGCGGAGCCAGCAACTACACAGGGGGTATCATGACATACACTAAACTCCAACAAAGGAACTACATTTACCACCATCCTTACACCTCTTCCTATATCCTGTATCCTCCAATCAAGCTCATGATATGCAAGAATCCTCTGCAATGCGGCAAAGCAGAAACCACAGTCCGCAACAATCAATTAAGTGGGTCCTAGAAGGTTCAGATTGGATTGATTGATTACCGCTTTAAGCCTAGTAGTTACCTATAGGAGTTTAAGCCCTACCTAGATAGGTAAGTGGGTCTAGGAGAGTGACCGGATTGAATTGATTGTTGCGGAGTCTAGCAGAAACGCAAAGACGTGGCAACGAACACACACTGTAGGCTGCATAAAACACCGATATCGTCCAGGCCTTACGACGTCCGAGTGTCTTATAAAAACCTGCTACTACTAAGCATTGGTATCACTTTATATATATATTAAAACCTCGCTCTATACCTGGCTGAGCTTAGAGGGCTTTTGCGTGCGACTGCGCTTTGACTTATGAGCGTCCGACCGCAGATCGGTCTCGGTCTCGGACCCTTTACGCTTGAGAGCCCGGGGTAGCTCGGTCCCAAAGCTCGGAACGGATACCTGAAAGAATATTCAGTTTCTTTCCGTATGGGGGTCTTCATGTGTACTTACAGCAGATGATGGAGCAACAGCGGTCGAACCGGTTTTATGCTTATGAGCCCGAGATATCTTGGTACACGAGCTAGCGCGCGATGCCTGGTAGATTGGTCAGTCTCTTCCGGTATGGGGGTTTTCGTGTGTACTTACGGCAACTGAAGTATCTACAGCGTTCGAACCGTTCAACAGATCCTCGCCATTGGCCTGACGTGCAGCATTGAGGTGCTGTCGTACAGCAGGATAGTTGGGCATACTCCGAGAGAGGGAGGAATCAGTGATCTTCAGCTTCTCCACCATCAGATACTCCTTGCTCACATTCGTGAGGTATCCTGCAGGAACAAAATCAGTGTCATACGCGATCTTGATTGTATTGGTCGGGTCGAGAAATGTTCCTGGTAGCGGGCGGAAGCGTGAGTTCTTGTGCGTCTCCAATACTGGCTTGGGACTATCCTTGTACTTCGGCAGACGGCCGGCCTCCACAACATACATGGAGCGGTTCTTTACCGCTTGTGCCCGTTTTTTCATGCCTTTACCACCAGACGACTCCATGACAATGGCCTTGGCGTGATCATCGAACATCATGTAAATGACCACAGAATAGTTCTTGGTGATGATATTGCCAACATTCGTGCTGTGGAGATAAGGGGAATATGGGTCTTTTGCCATCATAAGCACCGGATGAAAACCAGACTCCGCAACAATCAATCGATTGACATGATTGATTCCTATATAGGTTAAAGAATTACTTCATTAGGCAGCCTTTAACCTAGATAGGAATCAATCATGCCGATCCGATTGATTGTTGCGGAGTCTGATGAAAACCTATCTGACCAATGAAGAAATCCGTGGATGGAACAGATTCCGCTACAGTAGGTTGCCCAATGCCGATGTCTTCAATCTGACTTCGTAGAAAGAAGCCTCGTGATCCTCTTCCTCATTTTTTCCGGTCTTGCCACAAGTTTCGTCTAAGGTATGTTCGCCATTTACTCTTCCTGCTGCATGGTCTGCAATCGGGGAAGATTCCCAATATTTTCCTCTTCAAGGATCTCGCCTTCTTCTGCCTCGCTCTCTTGAGACTTGCCCTTGATCGGCTCCAGCACTTGGATTGTGTTGTTCTCGATTGCACTATCGTTGCGCAATCTGTCCGTGACATCCTGCGGAACACTATCTGCTTCGTTTTCGCCCTCCTCCAGCTTACCCTCGCTGTTCGGCGTGTTCGCGGCAATCTTCCTTAGCATTTCGTTCCGGGCGTCTCGCTCGTTCTCGCTGGGAGGCTCTGACGTGTGTTCCCTCTGCCTCCGAGACATAGGCGACATAGGCATTTAGTCTCTTTGTCCTCTGCCAATGCAGTGGCAAAGTATGGGAAGGGGCTGTGGTAAAGCTGGAAAAAGCTGAATTGGAAGCTCAAGAAGGTTCGAAGGTCGAGTAGTCGAACTACTGCTCGTTAATTGTAGATCTATGCAGCAATTCGCTCTGCGAAAGAAGTTATGGAGCCAGGCAGACACGTAGACATGTGCACATGGTCCGTTCCCATGCTTGTACTATGGTGAGGTAATTGTTTTTCACTGTATATATTTTGTGGACAGCAGACTCCGCAACAATCAATCGGATCGGCATGATTGATTCCTATCTAGGTTAAAGGCTGCCTAATGAAGTAATTCTTTAACCTATATAGGAATCAATCATGTCAATCGATTGATTGTTGCGGAGTCTGGTGGACAGACCTTAGGATGGTCCATGTGTTGGTGAAAGCAAACACACTCTTTCTTCGCCACCACCCTCATCCAAGCGCAACTTCAACAACAAGCTTTCCCTTGACAAACACTCGATCCCAATACCAGAAAACCTATCACCCAAGAACCACAGCAATGGCGCATACCTCGACAAAGACCGTGGCTTTATCATTCGACACCGCAGTAATTGGAGCGTTGTCGATGCAATTCGAGAAGGCCAAATCCATATCACAGAATGTCGAAAAGGCGCGTGAAGCTCTGCACCAGGAAGCGCCCAAAGTCGAGCGAGAGCTGCGAACAGCACGCGTACTGGTTGACAAGACGTCGATGGAGTTGGATGGCATTAGGGAAATATGCTCCCGATAACCAGGAGGCACGACTGAAGAACAGGACAGAGTATTATACGCGCGCAGTGAAGCATACAGGAACGCAATAGCATACCAAACAAAGCTTCAGCGAAAGAAGGAGGCGCTGACGAAGGACCGAGAGCAGGCGGAGTCCTGCGCCTTTGATCTTTTAAAGATATTCAACGCATTTGGCTTGATACCTGCGCTCGCTATTTGCATCTTGAAGCAAGCAAGGGCGAGTCCCAGCCTATGTTTTTAGAATCACCAGATCGATCAGTACCGCCAGCTTCTGTGTCTCTAGTCGACAAAAACTCCTGCAGACCCCCGAACGTGGAACCGTCAAAGTTGTCGACTCCGCAATGCAGAGAAGGCATGGGTAGCAGCACTAGACAAAGCCTCGGCTCCCAATCTATAACGAGAAAACATGGACTTCGACGATGACGACTGGGACCTCGATTCCGACGACATCAGAATCAACAATGAAGACGCCATCGAAAATTTGAAGCGCAAACCCGACTGTGACTACGACAGTCCGTACGACCCCAATCGAGTACGGAAATGGACGGAAGACCCCTATCACCGAGCCAAACACCAAAAGCTTCGTCCAGACAGAGACGAAGCCGTTCACCTCTTCGACTACAAGCCCATCGATCCCTCCGACAGCATCAGCCTGATCGAAGAAGATGAGCAGTACCAGGACCGGATAGCGACTATGAAAGAGGAGATGGTGACGAAGCGCCAGGAACTGGAGGATACCATACCGAATCACGAGAATCTGCCATTCGCGGATATTGTGACCGACAACTTTGAGTTCTCCGGCCCTATAGTGACGACGACGTGGGACAAGCGGTGGGTTCATCGCCGCCGGTTGTTCGAGGCAAGATGGAATTCGCGGCGGAATTCACTTTGATATAGGTTTTCTCGATTGTCGAATTTTGATTGCGATACGATCACGCATATGTTTTCATTCTTGGTTTGATATTTGCGATATAAATACACACGGTGGTTGGGCTCTTATTTGAGCCTTCCATTTAAGCTCTCATTGGAGTTCTAGTTATCGGGTTAGTTTTGCTACGTAGACAATCACATCTGTTTTGATCTTTGAATTATTTCAGCGATCCAAGTCAGATATCCGGCCAAGAGCACTTTAGCTGCTTCGCAAGTGATAGCCTATAGTATTTTGAAATACTCATTGTGCCCTTTTAGTCTTTTGCCAAACTATCACTACTGACTAATATTGTAGTCTCCTGACTAAACGCATACACGCATACAGCTAGACGCCAAGCTGGTGTGGTTGTTATCTTTATCCAGATCGAGCCAGTTTTAAGCGTAGAAGTCAAAGAGGCAGGATTTTCAATTGTGAAGCTGTATAATCTGTTGTTCAAATCGATCTACGCGGAATTGTCTATCACCGAGACTCCGGTGAGGGGCAGAGCACGTGACACGACGATCCCTGCATCATCCCGCTTTGGCAAGTGACCTCCCGTAACTCCATCCAATCCAAAAAGAATGCCTGGCCAGCATGACACATGTAACACCGCATCTCCTGACAGCCCATTACACATGACCGGTCCAGCCGTGGGAAGATCGTGAGATACACCTTGCTGTGGTCGATCTAACCTCTTGCGGAAGCGCAGATGCCAGTGGAAAAATCGAAAACGCTGTTCACCGGCCAGCGGCTTGAATGTAGTCTGTATAGTCTATCGGAAATGCCTATCAAATGCGTCTATAATCATTCGCAGATGTGAGGCGGTCGATTTGGCGATATCCAAGGAACGTTCCTGATAGTCCATCAGCCCAACACAGGCAAAGTATCATGTGCACAAACAAACCAGAAGTTTTTTCATGCAGGTCTCCTATGCCTCTTGCTCAACTTCCTCCTCGTGCGACTTGTCTTGCGCACTGGAAGAAACTCCTGGTTCGCAAGAATCGGTTGTTCGGCGCCCTGAGCATCGCTATCGGCAACACTCGTCCCATCTCTGAGCGCCCTATGCTCTTCTCCCTGAATATGCGCATCGAAAAATGAAGACCTCCATGGCGTATGCTGTTCATCCAGATCCCCCGCGGGGTTCCTCCTTAACACGCGGCGCGATCGCTGAACATCGCTAACGTCTTGTTCTCTCCTGAAGGAAATCTCACTAAAGATGCGTCTGAAGAAGCGAGGCATGGTAGCTGATAATATATGTAGCGAGAAAGAGGTTGACACGTATGTCTGCAGAAGTGTTTATGCAGGGACTTCTGGTGGGATCTCACAGGCTTATCAAGGCGGCTGTCTTAGTGTTGGTGGCGAAGGAGTAGGCGGCAACTGCGGGGGCGCACATCCCTGTCACTAAACGAGACGGGAGGTGATTGGTTGATTTGTACGGATCGTCGTGTTGATCGCCGAACCGCTTCAGCTGTGATTTCGACAAAGACGCGTCAACGGCAATCTTGCATCCCGTGTGATAGATTCCCGTGCCGGCGCTAGTATATCGAGCAATTTTGACAGCGAATGTCCGTCTGTGACCAGGTAGCACACAACCACGACCGTGTTCCGCGCATCGGGAACATCATATGTGCGCTGCGATGCGCCCCTGTGTTTATACGTCAGATGACGTTTTCGCATTTTGAGTTTGATCGGCTGATCTTTGTTCCATGGGTCATCATTCACGCTGATTGCCTACAGCACACACCACCACTTCAGCTCACTAACTTGCTTCAGCTGACACTTGACGAAAAGAACGTGGAAAACAGAATAGGGGTCACATAGACTAAGCTATATTAGTGCGAAGATCGCGTGAAAAAGTCGATATAAAAAGAATTGCATTCTATCCCCTTTCTGGTAGGGAGTTTGCAGAAATATTTCTCAAAGAAAAAGCCGAAGTACCAAAACGCTGGCTGATCCTGGTCGACTTTATTGACGTATCACGCGAGAAGTGATACGTGGAGTAATGACTGAATAAGAGCGTGATTGATCAGCGTATACAATCATGCGGAAAGACAGCCCTGAACCCAATTCGTCACATCATCAAAGTATCGTAGGCCGCCGACGATAAGATTCCAATCTCCATGCGTCAATCTTCTGCCTCTTATCACCCTCAGCAATAACACTGAAGCTATCGCATACCTCGATCTCCTCTTTGAACTTGCGCTTCCCAACCCTTGAAGCCGCACCGCTCTCACTGCATACCAACGCGACATCTGGACCTGTGTTCTCGGAACTTGATCCCGTAGAAGCACCGGGGCCAGATCGTTGGCACACTACGTTGTCTTGACCTACGCAAGAGTATGTTGACTGGGTTTGAGGCGCTTCACTTGGACATGGCTCAGGGGGATCCATTCCCCCCTCTACGTCCAGCCAATTCCAGATATGATCGTAGTTGCGACCAGCACAGATAGCAGCAAGCTCTTCATCGTCCAAGTAGGGGTTCACAGCTGGATCGACTTGATCTGCTGTCACCGTGTAGAAGCCACGATCTATAGCAGACTTCTCCAACTCCGCTAACGCATCCTCTGCGACGCGCAAAGGTCCTGTAAGCTGTTGGCCGCGTCGCAAGAAGATTGGGCCAAATGATGTTGCGAGTTCGTCAACGGTTTGTCCAGGGTGCTTTGCACCGTATTGAGCGAAGAACTGATTATAGCGGGTTCGATGAACGTCGTGGGCTTGCCGGGCGTCTTGCAGCGCTAATTTCGCCAGATAAGTTCGATATTGAAGTTGAGCTTCACTGAGTAGCTTGGAGACATTGTTGTTATCGTCGGTTGTGCTTAGAACATCAACATGGCCTTCCGCCAATATGTTTGCCACTCGATTGTCACATTTTGGCTTGTCGGCCACCAGTGAATCGATGCGCATGTTTGGGGATGCATCATCGGAAATCGATTCGAATGGCATCTCCTTTTCATTACTAATTGCTGGCTCCAGTTGATTCTCAAGGATTGAATCGTCGTCGCTGTCGTAATCATCATCGTTTGGCAGAATGCCCGCTTTGGTGAACAAATCATTGTAACTGGCGGAGAGACCCTCCAGCTGGATGTGCCACTCCTTTCGCAATTCTTCCTCTTCTGCAATCATAGTGGCCTTCTGTCCCTCGAGCTTCAAGAGCAGGACCTCATCTGCACCTGTCCCGGAACGACCAGGAGACGCTCAAGTTCAGCTATCTTTGCCTTGCGACTATGAACAAGGGCTTGGTGGTCGCAGATTATCTTTTCGAGCTTTGCGAGGTTCACGTTTGCGTCTTTTTCAACTTCTTTGTAGTCGCGCTGAAGCATTGCACAATTCATCGAAAGCTGCATAAGGCGATGAGTGGGTAAAAATGCCATGACCTTGTTCCCGTCTTTGGGGATCGCAAACACAGCTGTGGATTCTGTAGTATAACAGTCCTTGCAGGTCTCGTCCTTATCTCTAGTCTGCCACAACGAAATCTTCCGAGGTTTCTTCAATGATTGTTCGGAGACGAGTGGATGGCTTGTGATATCCTGGGAAAGAGGTTATCGTTGACCATCGGTTATTCTAGAGGCGTCCGGCTTCTCTTTTCTAATCGAATCCTGTTCATCGCTGAGTTCTCGGCTGGGGGATCGCTCTTCGGCTGACACAAAAGCAGTGGCGGTGGATGCTACGTTCGACAACGGTACTATCTGATTTGAGATGGGCATTTGCATTTCGCCCAGCTGTAAAACCCGCATCACAGAATCAGTAGCGATGCTTGGGCTGCCCTCTGAGCGGCTTAACCTGGGGCGCTTGGCGGATGGAATAGGTTCATCGCAGGTAGTCACTTCCGATACGGGAAACACATCATCATGCGGCCGCTTTCGAGCAAGGCGCATTGATTCCGACGCAGGTGGCGTTAAATGGTTGTAGAGAGGTTCTATATTTGGATCGAGGAGGTCGTAGGGCGGTACAAAGTTGTGGCGGGGCGTGTCGATCGCGACGTTGTAGCAAATCGTATCGGTGGGCATCATGTCTGTACAGACACGCGTGCGTGAGCCTGCTGTGTGCATTTTCCTGCGCTGATGGTTTCAATTATAAGCAGTTGATCGTACGCTGCGAAATAGTAGTGGAAGGAGGAAGAATGAATCAGAGTGTTATCGCCACGTCTGCGCTTTTTGAAATGAAAGAACTATGACTGCCTATTGTACAGAATTTCAGCCACGCTAGCAGACTCAATGACCACCACAACAGTAATAACAGCTGAACAGATCGTAGATGCGACCAGAAACAATTGCAAAAAAGTCCAGCAAGCAGAAGAGGAGCCACTATCGCAGGCACTCAGACCGCCAATGCGATCGCTGTCTGGCCCCAACCCCTACGCATATGATCGATCGCACCTATTCTTCCTTCGGTACTATTAACCATTTTCTACAACAACATTGCATTGATGTGATCATTCATCAGAAATCCACCACACAGAACTGTTTCAACTCCTGACTCATCGATACCTTGGAGGGTCTTTCGTTGGCACACTACGTTGGTATGATCTCACTACTGTGGAATAGAATGTGTTTCTTCTGATCTATCTAACGTTTTGCATAGATATAGAAGGTCTCAGATTTACCGCCCGAAATGTCTAGGGGCCAGTATGGTGCCAGTTAAGGAAACAAGCGGAAGAACGACTGGAATGACCACAGTCAACGAAGGAAGCGTCGAAAACAACAGCCTCAGCCCAGTAACAGCGCTGCGCCTGACGATGACACCGCCGATTATGTTCATACTATGCTCGGCAATCGTTTCGTGCTCACTCTAGCGAATCACGCCAGATCTTCGTACGAAGACAAAAACCAGGCTGTCGCTGTCGAGGACCCTAACCCAATGCTTGGGAACCATCGTGTACGAGCACCCAAAAATGCTACATACACTTCCACAAGCACGAATTCCATTAGCACTACGACCAATATGCTAGACAATCGCAGTGGTGGCCTACAGAATCATCGTAGAAAGCAATCACAGCAACCTTCGATTGGTCACTCGCCTGCACTTGGGCACCCCAGCACGACCGGAAATGATTGTACCATGAAAGCCATTGTGGCTCGGAATGCAGGCCCGAATTGGACGAATATCAAAAACCCCATCCCCTTATCGGAGTTTAAGCAGGTGCAGCCTAGCTCCATGATATGGGAGGTCACGGCTGAGAAGACAACGAATTCAAGCGCTCATGCTACCCATAAAGACTATCTTCCCACACCCGATGGTCTTTATTGTTTGAAAACTGCGCCTTTTGTTGTAGGGATTATTGACGCCGATACACTAAGCTTTCGGGACCGGAGGATGACTAGTTACGCAGGCAAAGGCGACAAATTCTTGATCCAAGAATAGGTGGCAGATCATCTAAGGGTGATGTATCACGATTTTCAAAACAACAAGAACAAGCATGGTCTTCCAGTCGTTTACGCAGCTTGGTGTAGAGATTCTCAAGCAGGTGATAGGGTCTCCTCGATCAACCTCAATGACATTCGAACAATCAAGGCTACCCAGGGCGTATCGATATTCGGCCAGCTTGACCAAGAATCAACTCGAACATTTATCAACAATCGCATTGGCAATGCCCTGAACAAACAGGTACGCACTCTTTTAACGACATATCAGGGGCCGCCGACAGATCACCTTGATGATATACGCCACGTAGTCGGATCGACCATCGCAAAGGCTACATCTCCGTTCGAATCATCGGCTACTGTAGCCCCTCTGAGTGGTTACGGAATAGCAAGTCCTGTTATAACCTCTGCAGGCATCCACGAGAACCGAGCAAACAGGAGGAGTACCGGCCCGTCAGCCGGCCAGATCACACTTGGTCATGAAGCCTCAGCGCAAACACTCCAGGATCATATAGCTTATGGGACCTACCCATCGCAAGGACCCGACGCTATCGGTATTGATGGGGATATGACGTTGTATTCTTCACGGTGAAGTATTGTCGATGATGACCAAGAGACGATCGAAGCAAGTATCCCATTGGTTTCGAAAAAGCCAAAAGATGGCACGTTGCCACCCCCGAGACCCATTTCCCGGGCATCCAAGATGATTCCAGAGGCTGAGAGCATTTCACGTAAGAACGTAGAAGAGGCCGAAGAATGGACACTGCTAGATATCGAAGATGATGATACCCCAGTGCGTTCCACTATAGAGTATACGGCGTTGTCGCTTGGGGCTACCGCCATGGATGAACTGCGTCTATCTCACAAGAACACATATATAAAGACTGCAATGACTGAGTTCGACTTGTTCGAAGCCAGGAAAATTTACAACACCTATAAGAGCACGTTGGCGGGGGTTGGATCAGAGAATTGCACTTCGACGCAGCGCACAGAACTGAATCGGTTGTAGAACATCTTACATGAAGCTGATAGGGCGCACTCAATCCAGCGCACCGAATTGGATGAGCTGCGACAGAGCCTCATTAGAGTCGAAGAGACGTAAGATATGAAATCCAACAAGCGATCGGCAGCATGTGGAAAGTCCAAGTGCAGCATAGGGGATGTAGAGTGATTTAATAGCTACTTGAGGAACGTGGTATGGTAGACTTTGTGCAATTTCTCACTGTTTGCATCCAGTTAGGGATCTTTAAATTTCCATGACGCGTTCCGGGATTTGTATAATGATTGAATCAAGTCAGTTCACGACCAGCTGTTCTCTCTAGTCATGCTCTTTGATTATAGTGGGTGATGTAGAGCGCAGAAATTGTGAAAACTGTTGAACAGAAACGACAGAAGAATGACAGGTCTATATTAAGAGACAGCCATGAGTTCAGAGATGGGAAGCTTGGAATGGCGGTCTCGGAAGCTTGTATGGTTTGAGCGCTATGAGAGCCGAATGACATGCTAAGCTTGTTAGTCTAACCAGGCACATCGCCCAACGAGCTATCCCTCACAGGAAAAATCCATTTTCAAGAGTTTGATAGCTTCATTGATGAAAACAAAGACTTGATTCTCCATAACGTGTTGGATAAGCGAGTCGGTCAGACAAGCGAGTCGGTCACCCCACTAACTTTCGCATCTTCAAAGCGATATAACTTTATAACGCGATTATATGAACTATAGATATTTAGAGAGTGGATATATTAGTATCTAACTATTCTTTTCGCACGTACGTAAGTTATACCTAGTCTCTTTACATCTACTGCAGCGCCTTTGAGCGCGCTAGCTAAAGCCTAATTGCGCTCCTCCTTGACGCTCTTTATGAGTAATCTGCTCGTCAGCCTCATTTTGAGCTAGTATATCCTCTCCCTCTCCCTTTCTTAAGGTCCCCTGCCTTTGTATTCGCTTCTTTTTACGCTGCCTACGCTTTGTTGCTGCCTCGTTGGCTCTCTCAAGGCTGGTGATCCGATCACGCATCAGCTTAGCGGAGAGCATTATCACCTTAGCTCCCTTATTAAGCTAGTTAATCGCCTTAATAATTAAAGCTAGTAATAAGCTCTTATGCTGGCGCACACGCTTACGTATTAGACTTAACTGAGACTTAAGCTCACGTACGTTGCTCAGCGTACGAGCTGTGATGGGCTAGACCCATGTATGCCTACCTGTACGCTGAGAGAGAGCAGCGCAGTCATGCCTCCTACATAAATATCGACTATGCAAGCTGAATCGCGTTGATTCAACTTGTGCATGCCTTTTGCGTATGTGTGGCGCATGTAGTCGTGCCGCTAGTCTTATAGACTCACGCCCGTTACACTGCTGATGGGCTACTTCGGATAAGAAATTCTTAATTATCTCTTGCGTAGGAGGAAGGCCTCGCTTAGTAAGGCCTTTAATATATCGTACAAGCTCTAGCTCTTATTGTGGGCTAAGTTTAAGCTGATGAGATGCCTAGGTCTCACGCGGGGCCTGAAGGCCTTGGTGTCTTCGACTGAGCGTTGATCGATCGATATTATATTTAGCTGCAAGTTTTGTATATGAGAGTCGACTTCCTGGCTCGTGCGATTCTAATTCTTTAATTGCTGCTTGAATCGGGTCCATATTGATAGAGTTGTACCGCGTTGAAGTTCAGTATTGATTTGACGTTTTGGTGCTGGGCGGGGCGTTGCGCGAATCCGGGCGTTGCGCGCACGGGCACGTTATTGTGGTTTTCGAAATACCTTGAGCCGCCTGGATCTGGTTAGCTTGGTGCCCAAGAACATCAACTCCCATAGTAATTTGTTAGTAAATTAATACAGCAGCCGTTTCCCACCTCCAGAAGCCCATGAAGCTAGTCCTGTACTCTAAATCGTTCGTGTATAGCGTTTTGTTTGTGTGGAGCTTGTTGCGAGCTCAATCTAGCTGCTGTTGGGATGCCGCCCAAGCGCCAGCGTAAGCCGAAGCAGCCATTCGATCAAGGCGTTAACCCGTCCTCCCAGAAGCGTAGAGCGCCAGCAACTAGACAAAATCCTACCCATTTAACGCCTAAACGTGTCCGCCGTGAGGCGCTGCCGTCGCCTCCAGCGACTGCCCCGCCGCGCCGTCAAAGCCCGTTGTCCGAGCCTGAGCTGCAAGCCACCCAAACAGCTGCCTCCGCGCAAGCTGAAGATATCGTTGGCGAGGATGAGGATACTTTCGAGGATGGAGATGGCGATCCGCTGCCTGAGGATGAGGATGAGATCGCTGCTAAGGGCGCTGCCGGTAGTGTTGAGGATGAGGGAGAGCCAGCGTACCGACGTCAAGAAGGCACTCCATGGCTGCCTCGCTCATCGCAAGCGCTAGAGGATGAGGTTAATCCTGTACTGCGCGTTAGGTGGAGGGCTTGCCTTGGTGGTGATATGGAGAAACACTTTATTCCTGAAGCTGCCGATAGCGAGCACGGCGTACGGCTGTACTCGCTGCATTTCGACGACCTATGGCAGTGGGTAGATGACGTTGTTGCAGAATTACGGCCAAAAAGAGCGAAGATCTCATCTGTTTGCACTGTTGTTTACCCAGCTAAGCAGGCCAAACGCGAGCGCGCGATAAAGCGATTGCGGCGAGGTGTTGATGCAACGTGGAATAGCTTTCAGCGCCTTGTTGTAGAGGTTGATAACTATGTCAGCGAGCCAGTAAACGTCGATTTCGAGCTCATCTTGGCTGAAATTCCAGGGGAGCAGCAGCCGTTGCCAACGGTTGTCGACGGTCCTCGTCGACGCACCGCAACGGTGATTCAAGAGGAGGGGCTTGCTGGTGTAATAGCAGCTGAACAAGCAGGTAGCGGGCATGCTATTGCTATCCGGGATAGATGGCGCTGTACAGATACCCATTGCGAGAACTATCCTTATTGCTGCTGGATGGCGCCAACAGCGAGGCAGCCAGCGCGCTTCGAAGATCACCTCTTTGTCAACGGCAACATTATCTCCATGTGGGCAAGAGCAATTACAGCGAGAAGGGCAACGTACGATGAGCCATCTGATGATGTACGGCTTGCAATTTTGAGAGCAAAGGACCTGCGGGTGCATGAGAAAACGCGCAAGTTGCGGGCGGCTGGAGATGGCGACGATGATATCAAAAGCTTAACAAAACTGCTCATCGTTGGACAGCTTGAGCGGATGAACAGGCAACCTCAACAGGAGTCTAACTTGCAGGCAGCTGCACCAACGATAACAAGAGCTGAGGTATCTAGTGCATCTCAGTGGGCGCCTATCCGATATGATCATGAGCAGGAGATTAACGAGCATACTAGTAATTTCTTTAACTACCTTAAGTTAAAATTTCCTACAGTTGGAGAGGACATTAACGAGCTTTATAAGACTCTTGTTATTGACGGAGCTATGGATATCAACCTCTTGATGCAGCCATCTGGTGATATCTTGAAGTTGTGGACGCAGCATTTCAAGCAGCCTCCTGGCTGGTTTTTCACGCTACAAAACACTGCAAAAGAATGGCAAGCTGGGTACCAGGGTCTCACAGATCGTAACTGGAGACGAGTCGAACGTTGTAAGAAAAGAGAAGAGATTGCGCGCAAGAAATTGGTGGTTGAACCGTCTAGCAGTGTTGTGGAGGATGATGGCGAGAATGCTTGAAGCTTAGTGGCCTGAGCGTTTTTGGTGACAGCGGCCCGTGCCCGCTATAGTGTTGAGGTTTTTCAGGCGTTTCAAATGCGCTGCAACAATAGTCTATTTGGATAGCCCTATGTACAACACTACAACGTTATGCGATTATAACAGGTTAACTTCCTAAGATAGTTCTATATGTATAGAAATAGCTCTTATTTTTTTAGAATTATTAAATCGCTTTTGTGGGTTGCGCATTAAGGTGTAATCGTTCGCATTTGTATGGTATCATCTACCTATAGAAACGTACTGTGGCATCCATTTAAAAGCACAATTAATAGGGATAGCCACACCTATGGAACCAGCTTCTGCAGTTAATATTACAGCACACCAGCTGCGCTGCATACTCAAGAAAGACCCCAAAGTCAATGAAGTTCTCCGCTTGCGCTGAATTCCTTTTCATCCACCCCTTGAGCTGCTTAAAGCTCTTCTCGATGGGGTTGAAATCTGGTGAGTATGGCGGCAGATACTCAAGGAGTACTCCAGCACTTTGGCAAAGCACCCGTACACGCTCTGATCGATGGATGGAGGCGTTATCAAGCACGATTACTGAGGCTGGCCCTGGGTGAGGATTGCAGAACGGCAGCACTTGAAACTCTAAGAAGTCTTCTAGGATCTCAGATGTAATCGCGCCTTGAAAGATCTTATAGCTTATGTAGCCATCTATCGTCATGGCTGGCAGCAGCGACCACCGTTCTGATCGCCTGAAGCTGTGTGATAGCTCCACCGGCTCCCCGATTGGAGACCAGCCATACTTGCGGTCGCCCGTACGCTCATTGCAGGCGCTCTCGTCCAACGCAACGATCTGCTCCGCCTTATAGTGTTGCGCCATCCTGGCAAGATAGAGGCGGCGGAGTGGCTCACTCTGCTCCTTTGCCCGCTTTGTTGCAAGCTTGCGAGACCATCTCATCTTCTCTAGCTCTCGGTAAACGCTCGCAAGGCTTATCCTAACGTCGTACTCGTCGTACAAGAAGTCCCTCATCTCATCCATGTATGCGCCCGGTGAGCCATTGAGGTATGCCTGAAGGCCTTCGCGCTGAGCTTGCCGGAGTATAGATGGCCGCCCAAGTCGAACGCAGCGCGGCGGATAAGGCACGCCCCAAAACTCTAAGCTCAACCTCAGCTTTGCTACTGTGTTACGGCTCGCACCTGTAGCTCTAGAGATGGCTCGATCACTTTCGCAGGCAGCAATTCGGTCGAGGATAGCCTGGAGAACAGCGGGCTGCAAGCGGTGGCCGGTGCCTGGCATCGCGATGAGATGGGCTCGAGAAAATTGCAACACCAAAAACGCGAGTCAGTAGAGGCGATCGCAGCAAACAATGAACTTCAAATACGTTGTGGGTGTTAGAAAGCGTGGCTGCATCGATTTACTAACAAATTACTATAGGAGTTGATGTTCTTGGCCACCAAGCCAACCAGATCCAGGTGGCTCAAGGTATTTCGAGAAACACCCATAACGTTACTACCTACCTAGTTAGTCTTTCCAAACATTCTGTCCTGAAATTAACAGACCCAACGCCTATAACCCTCGAAAATCCGCTATATTATGAAATGCAACCTCAAGCTAGAAGGGAAAAAAGCAATGGAGCGAAAGCTCGGAAAATATGAATTCAACCCATTCCATCCCCGTGCCCTGCTCACTGGCTTTCTCAAGCATTGAATTTCTGCTTCTTGTTACATTTAGTAACGAAAGTAGTGCTTTGAAATGCTTCATCTTCATCTTCAAACTTGCGCTTTCGGGACTTGGGGGGCAGTTCGTTGCTGGAAACTGGCGGGGGGAGCACCGGCTCTGAATGCAACGGCTCTGGATGTATCGGCTCTGGGCTTTGCTCCTCTGGATTCTGCGGTTCTGGTTGATCTGGCTCTGGGTTCTGCGGCTCTGCATTGGCGACAGTATCGGAACCAGCCAAGTGCACTACTTTCTCGTCACACACGAACGAGACTCGCTGTCTACGGGCTTGGGGTTCTTCGCAATGGCGAATTTGCTGCGTCATTGTCCCGACGATGACTGGGTCTATTCTCACTTCCTTGCATCGCTCTGGCTCTCCTGGATTAGCGAAGATGGCTCCTGTGTCCACTGTTTCGGAAGGCGATGTTTCTCTAGGTTCTCGCTCGTCTTTGCTAAGATGCTTGGCTTTGGCATTATCGATGCCCTCAATCTCAACATCCTTATGCAATTCAGTTTCGTCATCTATTTCTATGCCATCATAAACAGACGGCGTGATGGTGGGGCACGGGGTCGGAAAGTCCATGCCACCTTCTCATACTTGTCAACGAGCGAGCCGGCTCGCTCAGCTCGCTCGGCTTGGACGTTTTGACCAAGCCGAATGAGCTGAGCGCGCAGTGCGCGCTTGCAAGCCGAGCGAGCTTAGGGATAGGCGCTCGCTCAGTCAGCTTGCTTAGCTTGGTTGGATGGGGCGGTTGGAAACTTGGGGCTGAAGGACTTGGTGGAGGGGCAATCTCACGATGATTTTTAGGTGTAGTGCGTAAGTTCGAAACCTAGTTATAACCTAAAATACACTCTTTTTTGCTATATTTCTAGCAAATAAGCTACTAAATTTCCGGCTAACGGCCTGGCAACAATATTCTCCTTCTGCGACACTTCACTTACTACTTATCACCCACCACACTCACCTATACTCCATCAACGCGTCTCTATTTGCAGCTATTATCTACCTCGCCGTTGCTATAATGCCAGCAAAAAGAACACGCGTTAATGCTCTAGAAATCGCGACAACTTCGAAGCGCCCTAGAGTCGCAGCGCGTCATCGCGGGACTGCCAGCCAACCTGTGCTAGTCGATACTCGGCCATTCTCACCATCTCCACCTCCTCCACCGCTGTCGCCGCGTCAAGCTCTCGTCGCCGCGCCACAAGCACCAAATTTTGAAGCGACCCTCCGAGAGCAGACTTTCCAACAAGCAAGTAAAGCAAGTCACCGCTCTAAACTTGACTTGCTTGGTTCAAACATAGGCTTTACTTGACTTGCTTGGGGTGATTTTTTTACTTGCTTGACTTGCTTGTATTACTTGCAAGTACTTGGATTACTTGACTACTACAAAGAGATTAAGCTACATACAAATTACCAAAACTCAGTGTTCCACTCTAGTATGTTGTAATCTCCTACAAGCTGCTCATCTGAAAGCTTAGCCTCGCTACAGTTGTACGGTTTATAACCAGCTCGCACCCATGACCTTACTAATTGAAGAGCTGCGAGTAGCTCACTGCCCAGAGCACGTCGTTTAGGTTCAAGAAGGTCGCCAAGCTCACTGAAGAGGCGCTCACAGTCGCTGCTTGATGCTGGGATAGTCATGATATCGATTGCAAACTGCGCTAAATGCGGGTATTTCGGCAGTAGTTGTATCCAGTATTGGACAGGATTTCCATCTGCGTTGTACTGCTCCTGCGTCCACTGCGGCTCTTGTGTTTTCCAGCGCTCAAACTCGTCAAGTGGAGCCTCTCGGTCATTGTTGCGGCTAAGTATAGCAATAATTGCCTCGTCTATGTTGTTGCTACTCGGCGCAGTTGTATACCGCTGGCGTGCTCGTTGAGGTTTGTATGCCGCCCAAAGCTGTTGGAACGACGCGTTGGCACTAGTAAGCCAATCAGCTTTGTCTGCCCACGCCACATCGCAGTAGTTCTTGTAGTACGGGTGTAGGCAAACAGCGGCGTAGTAAGCGGGCGAGTCGTCGAGCTTGTTGTAGTAGTCGTTGGCTTTGCTCCACGCGGCGCGGAGGTTGACGTTGAGGTGATCCTCTGGAGCCTCGGCATGAGCGTTGAAGTCGACGTGCTCGAACGGGCGCGCCCGGGCCTCAAGCTTGCTGAGTACGTACTCAAAAACGGGTATAACCTCATAGATTGCGCCGTATTTGCCATCCTTAGAGCGTCCCTCGAGGCGTTTTGTGGCGTACTTGAGCGGCTCTAAGCAGTCCTGGTACTCTGCAATCACCGCCCAGTCAGCAGCTCGGAGCCCAGTTGATCTCATCCAGTTTGGGGCGTCGGGCCGCTTATTATTCCGCTGCGCAGCGTGCGCATCTTCAAGGATAACCCTATTGATATGATGCTCAGCGTACAAGTTATACGCGGCTTGAAGCTTGGTAGCGCGCTCAAAAGCAGCATAGTATGAGTTCCAGCGAGTGACGACAGGCTTGACTGGCTCGAGTACTTTGAGACGCCCTTCAGCAGGCAGGTTGTTGTTGGCAAGGCGCTGGTAGCCACGAAAAAGCTCGTACTGTTGCGGCGTTTTGATATAGTTGATGACGTCAACTAGCACTCCAATAGGGCCATCTTTCCGCCACTCTCGCATATACTGCTCCTCGGTATTGTACTGCTCTTGAGTGTTGCCGTAGGCGTCTTTGTTGGTGCCAAATATAATAGCCTGGCCGATGAGGTTAAGCGTGTGACAACTGCAGCGGAGGCGCCGGTGAGCGGACTCAAATTCGTACTCGCGCGCGAGCGCGGCGATCGCAGTGTCGTTGTTGGTAGCGTTGTCGAGTACAAAATAGCCTAATCGGTCGCTTGTTATTCCGTATGCTGAGAGCGTCGTCGAGATAGCTTTGGCAATAGCCTCACCGGTGTGGGCGCCAGCGAGCTCAGGCAGATCGATTGGTAAGTCTCGTATTATTCCAGCTGCGTCGGCAAAGTGAGCGACTACTCCAAAGAAGCCACGTTTACCACCCTTTGTTGTCCAGCCATCAAAGCTTACGTGTATTTTGCTTACTGAGCCTGACAGGGTGTCGATAACTTGCGGTCGTATAGACCGGAACAACCTCATCACAAAGGTAGAAACGCTGGTATTACTTACCCACAACGCTGCCTCTGCCTCTGGGTTGGCAAATCTCATCATCTCTCTAAAATCAGGCGTCGTAAGTTCGCTGAGCGGGTGGTTTCGGTTAACAAGCCACATGACAGTGGCTGTTCGAAAGCCCTCTACGTCGAAGTTTCCAAACGCGTTAGCAGTGTTTTGTTGTACGTCTAAACCAGCGTCAAAAGCTTGCCGCAACGACAGCTGGCCTCGAGCTCTCTGCGCTAACTTTGGGCCATCTTTCGTAAGGTTGTGGCCAGGCTTTGGTTGGCTGAGATGGGTGGCTGCTGAGGTTGTAGCCTGAGTAATGTTAAACAAACCACCACGGCCAGCGTTGATAGTTTTGTGTACATGGCAGTACTTGCACACAAACCAGATTCGAGATGTAGCATGGCGCTCAACAACGCGGTAGCCATACTGAAAGATCCAACTTTTTGGGCGCTTAGAACGCGCCAATGGCTTGATAAAATCAGGTAAACGTGCCCAGTCAATGCCGTCAAAGTTCTCAACTAGTGCGCTGTTTGTCTCATCCTGACCACCCTCTCCAGCCTCAGTTGTAGCCACCGTGCCAGCTCGGCTGCCCTCGGTGGGCGCGACAATCTCAGCCTCCGCCTGCGACTCTAAGAACTGCAACTCGAAGGTAGGTATTGGCGGCGAGGCGTTAGCCTGGCTTGCGGCAGCTAGGGTTTTGCGAGGTGATCGACGCTGAGGTCTAGGCTTAGATGCAGGCTTAGATGCAGGCTCAGGTGAAGCCTCAGGAGTTGAGGCGACGTTGTTGGTGGCAGCGGCTACTTTCGTACGTTTGCTCCGAGCAGAAGTTTGTGGTAGGCGACGTTTGGCCATATTGGGGGTATCAGGGCAGTATAAATCACTGGAAAACGCGTTGCTATAGGGGATACTGCATTGCGATAGGCTTCTAGACAGGCGTACGTCGAGATTGGAGCAATGCGCTAGACTAAGGCTAACGTTATTTGATAGCCGCTTAGCCTGTTTGGGACTCAACCGAGGCAACTGCAACACTTCAAAACCATCGCGACATCTACCGTACAGCAGTTTTAGCACCCTCATCACAGTAACGCTAAAACAACCAAGTAAACCAAGTAAGCCAAGCAAGCAAAGTATCTTGACTTGACTTGCTTGCTTAGCTGCCCAGCTCTTACTTGACTTGCTTGCTTGGTTTAAACCAAGCAAGTCAAGCAAGTAATCCAAGTCAACTTGCTTTTTGGAAAGTCTGCGAATGCGTGAGGATGACTCGAAACGGTGGACTAGGGGATAGTCGATTGAGTAAAGCACAGTAGGAACAAACTCTGCGAGTTATGTACCCGAACGGCAACGACAAGTCTAACATCGATGACCTTGAGGTTATCTATGTCAAACAGTACTCTGATCCTAAAGCAGGTGAGTGTGTATCACTTATGAACCTTAACGAGGTTAGGAAAATTACAGGCACCAAAGACATGGTTATAGCTGGGGAACTCGACTCTGAATCTGCAAAGAAGCTCCTGAATTTGTACTTGGCCACAAAAACAAGCAAGGTTGCGAAAGCGTATGCGAGATCAGAGGCTGGGGAAGAGGGTAGAAGTGTGGGTTCATTCCAAATTCCGAGCACACGAAGTATGCCCATGGATCCGCTTCGGGATGAGTACCAGATATCTGCTCAAGATTCATTACGAAGATATAGTGCAGTCAACACCATCTCCAGCAAAGCTCTTCAGACATCTTCCCGCAGCAGTAACCTAATTTTGCCCAGTCCGAAGGAAGGCAACAGCACGATCGAGTCACCCATCACAACATTGTCCACGTCTATACCTGGAAAGATTGAGTTCAAAGTCCCGTTTCCGATTTGTCGCCCGGCAAACGCAGGGAAAGATGAATCGAATAAGGACTCCGAAGACAACACGCTCAATGCTACGAGTAGATACCAGGGCGACAACCTTGTGATTCTGAACCATTCATACCCCAAGTCTGAGTATCACGATGAAACCGAGATATTCGGGAAAGGCCAGACGGTTATGACTGAACATAGCAAGTCAGAGGCCCCCGGGACTAGCCGTATAAGCGGACTAAACGAGGAGCAATCAGATGCCTGGTGCTTGAGCGCTATGTACGAGAAGGAGCTTAGCCTTGCCCGACAGGAATATGTCAGTCATAGGGACGAACTCTCTACGATGAATCCGGAGACCATCACCGCCACGCAGCGTGCCAAACAGACGTTTCTGCGAGACAAAATGCGCTGGACCAACAAAGCGCTCATGGAGAGCAAGTCGGGAAATAACTTGACTTAAGATCACCCGGACGTTTCGTCGTACCTTGATCGTAATCTGCCATCGGGCTCGAATTACAGAGTGCCCCGAGCTTGGGTTATCCCTTTCCTGGTCGCATAACAAGGACATAGAAGGTATAGTAAATGTCAGTTATGAGGATACGAGGCGTCACGGGTAGAAGAAAGTCTTAACATGGCGGTAGGTCTGAGCACCGCGTGTATTCGCGAGAGCTTTCTGCAATGTTAGCAATCACCTATGCACGGAATGAATGAATGCCAATCATGTTCTGGGAGTCCAACCCCATTACCAATTTCCCGTGTGATGTTGTGGAGGATCTGGGCCTTGTATTCCGGGACTGATTACTTCGGATGACTTCTGCAACGTGGTCCACGCGTTGAGATACCGCATGACGTAATGCTGATAATTACCACAGCGCCTTCCACTGCTCCTTCTCCTCCAAGACACATGATCATGAAAGAAACGAAATGAGCTCACGTTGGTTCGTATCGTATTGCGACAAATCTACTGACAAGCGACGGTGATTGTGCATCGGACTATATTAGCAGTGGTGCCTTCTGCATCGATTCCTGGGTTGTGACGCACTTTAAAGGGTCCTTTCTTCTTCTCAACCCTACAAGATTTCCCTTCATTTCCTTATCTGAGGTTCTACTTATATCTTGTTTATTTGAGATGGCCCTGCTTCGATACTTCGTTAGGGTGAAGGACCCTGCGGACGCTTCCCGTGCTTCCTGCACATGGCCACAACCACACCGCGCTTGCGACAATACGCACCTAGTGAGTGGCAGTCACGCATGATTCATAACAGGATCTCTTGGTTAACTACTTGGCGGACGAGCAAGTGATTGGAGTTCACGCGCACTTCGCACAGTCAGAGTGATCTCACTCTGCCATCCCATTCACTTCGCCTTTGGCCGCCGCCCACAATCATTTTTTTTTCGTACTAGGCTACAGTTTTTCTAGAAATACGCAGCTACTTACACTCTTTCGACTTTGGAACTATCTGCCCAACGTCAAACGAAGCGCAACAATGTGTAACGGCAAGTCTCATAATGCGCACCTCATCTTCGTCAAGAATGTCCCAGGCCACCTTTGGGCAGAAGGCATACCCAGGCTCTTCAACGAATACAAGCCCCTTGAGACTAAGAACATCTTCCCGGGAAACAGCATCACCACAGTGGTTCTCAGGTTCAGTTCGCACGCCGAGGCTCTCCGCGCGAAAGAAGGCGTGCATGATAAGCGCCTAGGAAACGCGGTACTTCGCACGGAAATGTACGAAGACCGCAGGTCAATCCGCTTCAATCGAGTACAAGAAAGAGCAAAAGCAAACACAAATGACAAGCCAAAAGACAAAGCCGAAGATGCTGAGGAGGCCCCAGAACAGGCACCCACGTACACGATACGCAAACCGCGCAGCAAGAAAAATCTCGTTCCCGCAAAAGCCCCCAACATGATCGCAGGCAACACTTGGGCTACTATCGCAAGCCGACCCCGCATAGAAAAGTGCTCTGAATTGCCCGATCTCCCTACGACTAGCAGCCCAAAGACCGCGCAAGCATACGTGGACCAGACCGGTACGACCGGCACTGCGCCTCCCAACAATCCTCTATCTGAAGAAGAGAACCCTTTCTTGGATCTTCCCGCTGATGCGCCTAGAGAGGAGTTCGCTGAGTCAGATCCCGACGCAACCGACGAGGATTCCGATGAGTCACCTGAAGATTGGTCCCTTGTCACAGCCCCGGACACTGCCTCTTATAACGCGCACAGTACCGCCCACACTACGCCCGAGAAAGGAGCCAGCAAGGCAACCGTTGCAGATAGCGATCAGGAAAACACGGTGCGCAACAACGCAGCTCCCGCTCAGCCACCCATCAACATCAGCTTCGCATACGACAGTAACGCGCATAACACTTCCGGCCCATCGCAGATCGTGGATACCACGGTGCACATACAGGCGAATCACCAACCTCACTGCGCATTTTGTGTGAAGAGGGACGCAGCCAAATTGAGAGCCAGTGAAAGGAATGCTACGGAGCCCAGGGAAAACGGACCTTGGAACCGAGAGTAGTCGGACGTCCAGTGATTTGTCTTTGATAGAACATTCTTTCGGCTTTTAGGAGATTTCTGGAAGCGGGTTTGATCTTTAGACTAGTCATATCAATGATGAACAGGGTGAATAGGCTATAACCATGAAATATACGATCATTCGTCAATGAATGGGCTGTTGAGAACTTCTTGAAGGAATGAGGTGATGTTCTGCGTTGTAGTGTACCATATCGCTGGGACTCACGCGTTGTATAAGCTATCCTTACTCAGCCTTGCATATGCAAGGACCTGATCCTATTCCATGGTGCCGCTGACATGCATGGGGTTGGTGACGTGGGGAAACCCTGGTATTAAATACCGCTTTTGCAATATGTCCGACTAGTTCCGGGAAGGATAGTCACGGAGGTCATACTACGACTCTCTTTTGGTACAGCCGACCCGAGGCACTCCCAAGACTACCCCATCCAGAAGTCTTCAAATGATTACATCGAAGCAGCAAATTCGGTATCAGGGAGAACCACCTGCCTATGAGCCTCTCTTGGACGCTCTTTATCTCCCTTCTCAAATCTAGTTTACGATCTCAATTTTCCCGTCTACAGAGCAGTCTGCTTCTATTCTCATTAGTCACTTTCAGGCAAAGCCTTCAGAACAACTCATTGTTACCCCATTTCGCATGTGACACGGGTGGTTTCCGAACTGCTCTGTTCTCTACATAGTTTTTCCTTGCTCAACTCGCAAAATTTCAGCTGGACAATTATCACTGCTTAAACCTACCAGCTACTATCGCGGACCGCAAACATACATTCACAAATCAAGCCATCGCAAGCCATTACAACTATGAGCGATGAATCGAACACAGCTCTCATTACCATATCTATCTGTCTATCTATATTTTACGTATCTACAAAAGCCACCAGCCATCTAAACAATGACCTTGTGCGGCGCGTCCTTCTCCTCAGGCTCGTTGAAGATGTTGACGGGCCACCTGGGCTTGTTCGCAACATATGGGATGTTAAAGCGTCTGGGCTCCTTCTTGCCAATCTCCTCGACCTTTTCAAAGTCCTCCTTGGACAGCTCGACCTCCTTGAAGTTCTCCTGGATGCGCGATGCAGTCACGGACTTGGGGATGACGGAGTGGCCACCGACTTGGGCCCAGGCGAGGATGACTTGTGCGGGTGTGGCGCCGATGCGGCTGGCGATTTCCTTGATGGTATCGTGTTGGACGAGGAGGGGTTCGCCGACCATGTTGTTGCCGAAGGCCTGGGAGGGGGAGAGTCAGTGAGTGGAATTTAGATGGGGGGCGTGGGGGATTGCTTACGGAGTATTCAGTGACGTGGATGTTCTTCTCTTTGCAGTACTGGATCAGCTCTGGCTGGAGCAGGCGTGGGTGGCGCTCGATCTGGTTGGCAGCGGGGGTGACGCCAGTGCCGTCAATGATGGCCTGAAGGTGCTCCTTGGTGTGGTTCGAGACACCGACAGCGCGCGCCTTCTCCTTGGGCAGTTGTGTCATGGCTCTCCATGTGTCGACAATGGAGACGTCGTCGAGCATCTTGACGTCCTCGCCCTGCATAGGGAAAAGGTTGTTGTGTACATCACTGGTCTCATCGAAAGCGACGGGGAAGTGAACAAGGTAAAGGTCTAGGTAGTCGAGACCAAGCTCAGCCAGGCAGTCGTCAAGCGCGGCTGGCACGTCCTTGGGGCGGTGCTGCGAGTTCCACAACTTGGATGTGATGAAGACGTCCTCGCGCTTGAGGCCGGGCACTTCGCCGCCAAACGCCTTCTTGAGTGCTTGCGCAATCTCCTTCTGGTTGCCGTAGACCTTGGCGAGATCAAGGTGGCGGTAACCTGCCTTGAGTGCCTCGAGGACGGCAGCGCCGACCTGACCAGGCTCAGCTTGCCATGTACCAAAACCCAATTGACTTTGAAGCTGTTGTTAGCAATACTTCTCAATGTGGGCGCATTCAGTGGGGTACTCACGGGATGGTGGCGCCAGTGTTGAGAGTGACCTTCCTGCCGAGAGACATGATTGCAATCGCTGTATATTTTGGGGTATCTTGAGGAGGGAAAAAAAGTAAATAGAGAGTAATTTCCTCAGAAAGCGGGTGCTTAGGGTCCTATTAGAAGGAATCTGGGGCAAAAGTTATCAGAGGTGGGATGGTGGGGTCGGCAACGTCACCGAAGCTTGAACCGGCACAATCTCCACGTTCAGCACTCTTTCCGCGTAATCCAGCCCCCTCCGAGATCCACCATGGTCAATTTTGCGTCATGGAATATTTCTCCATCACTCGACTTCCCGCCTTTTGGGTACTCAACAAGCATCATCCATCAGCGCTATGGGTTGGGGGAGCGCCCAAGACCATCTGCCGGGACCATCTCGGTGCCACGCTGTCATGGACATTGGTGGAACAACTCTGGCAGTTCTGAAGGGTCCGAAGGTACTTCCTTGTGACCGAGTTATTAACACGTATTTCATAGTCTTTTTCGCGCTAGATACATCTGGCGAGTATGCGTTTGACTAGGGAGTGGAGCGACGGGACAATTAAAGTAAGCCGTGTTATGTAAGTGTTGGGAATCGAACCTGCGGTAGATAAGGCAGCTGGTTGCTGCATGCACGAGCTTGGATTACACGGCTGACTAAGCCGTGTGGTCCGAGCTCTAGCTGCTGCCTTACTGCCGACCTCCCTCCACCTCCATAGAACAACAAGAACAATCACAATCATTTCAACTCGTTGCAACGAAGGTGATTCCGATACCTTAGCCGTATCAACAGTAAGCGATCCAGACTTGCCGAAGAAAAGGACTAAGCTTGTCGCAACCTCAGCCCAGAGTTTCAGACAAGATGCTCTTGCACTCATATATGAGCCAGAATAATAGAAGTGTATATCTTGTAGTAAGAGTAAAAATTTAAACATCTATGAGACGGCGTTCGCCGAACTACCCATCCTCTAACGAACAAAAGAAAATTAACATTACACGGCCCCTCTTAGCCCAGTTGTCCCCTCACGGCTCCAGCCAACGCCAAACTCGAATGTGTATCCGACATGTACGCCACAGGATCCGCCTCAATCATACTAACATGAAAGCCCTCGCCGGTGTCCTTTCCATCAACCATTACACCAGTAACAAAGGGCCCCTTCAAGCATCCTGCGCTATGCATGACAGTAGGATCATGGTCAACCATCTGGGGGTTAGGGAATGAGATCCTCGGCGGCCCGCTTTCGCCCCTCTTTGCTTCGTGGATGTGCGTAGCCGTGGTGGCAGGCGAACTGAATTCGCCCTGGAAGTTGTGCAGGGTTATCTCGTAGCAGATCATGTTGAGGTGGCTGTTAATGCCAAAGTTGAAGGTGCCGCTTGCGCCTGCGATACCACCAGTAGGCTCGGTGCCGTTGACGACTTCCCCTGGGACAGCATTGACGAAGAACTTGGAGGTGAAGTCGAAAAGTTCTTTTTTGTCATCGTCCTTCTCATCTCTGTCTTTCTCATCCCTGTCTTTCTCGTCGTCTTTCTTATGGTCGTCCTTATCCTCAAACTTGTCAACGAGCTTGTCGTCAACATCGTGGTCGAACTTCTCATCAAACTTGTCGCCGAGCTTCTGGATGAATTTATCGTCGAAGCCCTTGACATCGATGTCCTTCCTCTCAGCGTCGCCATTCTCCTTGACATCGATCGTGACCTGTATCTTGAAGCCACCGCTGGTACTGATATCGATAGAATCACCTGAGACAGGAGCGGCGATGACGCTGAGCCCTAGGCTCGCGATGGCGATAAGAAAAGTAGAGGCGCGCATTGTCGCGGTAGTGATGTAATGTGATTTTTAAAAAAGCGTCTTCTGTTATATCGCAAACAAGTTGTAAAAGTGTTGTAAAGGTTTGAAGACTTTGCTAGAAAGAATGAATGGTGCGCACACGAAATGAGCGTATAGAAGTGAATGTGGTGGTTAATAGAATGTATAAATGGGGAGAAGACTGGTCGACAGCGAATTACTCCTACCGAAATTCCAATTGCAAACTGCCACCATTGTTATATATTCACAAATCACGATCAAATAGAGGCGTTGTTGGTGCCTTATTACCAAGGCCTTGGTGTGTTGTGGGTACTGAGTTCCCGACGTTTGAGGCAGCTCTGTAACGCGTGATGAGTTTGGCTAAGCTTGGCCCGCGCCCCCATCTGATGCACCAACCCCAAATCGAGACTACCTCAGCCCAGTTTGTAAACAGGAATGTCGAATAAGACGTGGAGTTGCGGGGAAACGGTGCGGGCTAAGATCTTGAGTGTAACGAGCAATCTCACGCCATGGACTGTTGTCACATGTCGCCAGGACCTATCCGCATGCGCCAAGTAGTTACGATGGAACCAGTTGGCACCTTGGCCAGGCAATGCCTCAGCCACATCCGAAGGCGTCGTCGATTTGTGCGATTTAACTGCCTGGCCGCGTCATCTCAATCTGTGTATGCACTCATTTATGGGTTTGCGTTGTAACTTGCGCTTCTATGGACACTCGTATTGGATTCCGTGCATATAATCGCAATTCTCATGCGCCACCTCATACTCTATCTCTTCCAAATCACGAGGTCTTGATGATGTCTGCAGCCTTCTCTGCCACGGCGTACATGGTCGCCTGCAAGTGAGGTGCTGGGATCAACGGCAAGATGCTTGCATCCACTACGCGCAATCGCTTTACTCCATGAACCCTCAATTGTGGATCGACGCACCCTCCGAGCTCTTCTGGCATAAGCGCGCATGCCCCGCTTGAATGCGTATATGTAGGATCGAGTGCACCGGCCTTGATGCTAGCATCAAAGATTTCATCGTTCGTCTGGTATTGAGAACCTGGAACCGTCTCTACAGGGGAGTACCGCTGAAGAGGGGGTGCCTTGGTCCAATGCAGCCTGTTCCAGCGTACGAGTTCGCCCAACACCATCTTGTCGACAGGGTTCTGGAACGCGTTTCGCACTACGACGGGATTTGCCGAGGGGTTTGTCATATTCAGCGTTAGTGTACCACGCGAGAGCGGTTTCTGGACTGCAGTAGTAGCTTTTCCCCAAGGCTAGATAGGATACTCGCCAGTTGCGGCGTAATCCGAGAGATAGTGCTCGACAAGTATCTTCCGCTGGGCAAGGAAGCCTTTAAGTAGCGCTTCCGTCTTCGCATAGCGCTCGGGTAGGTAGGCAGTCGCATCCTGCTCGGATATGAGCGCAGTTATATTTGCGTAGCCGCTGGAAAAGTCCCTGAAAGGCAAGAATAGAGCGGCACTACCCCTACCAAAGGTCCATGGCCCAGTACGGTTGGTCGTGTAAAGTTCTGCAGCTGTGGCGTTAAATTCAGGATCAGGGTAGGTAACCAGCATATCAGGGTTGGGAATGGCCTGATTCGAGAGATTGAAGCGCATGTAAAGCGCTTGATGGTCTTGAAAATTCGAGCCGACAGCTGGCAAGTCTTTTCTCACAGTGATGTTCGAAGCGCTGAGTTGATCGCGTGGGCCGATACCAGAGAGCATTAAAAGGTGCGGTGTGAACACGCTGCCCGCTGCAAGTATGACCTCTTTAGCTGCGTATACAGGTCTCGTTGTGGATTCGGTACGAGAAGTATACCTCACACCCTTTGTCACGACCTCGTCGCCATGTTCGAACAGAATCTCGTCGACGTGGGTGTTAGTCATCAAATGCAAGTTTCTCCGTGTTTTTACTGGATCAAAGTATGCGCGTCGAGAATGGCTCCGCTGCTTAGTGGAGTTGTCGATGGAGTTTGGTGTCCAAAACGTGCCTTTCGGGCGACTGAATCCCTCTGATGAATGCGGTATATCTATCCTGGAAACAAACGAGCCCATGATGTCGACGTAGTCTTCATACTGATAGTTCGGTATCGACACTTTTACGGGGCCATTGCCATATCTGGTAGCATGTTAGCCGAAAAAGCTATTCAGGTTAGCATCGTCCTACGCAGTAGCATCAAAGGTCATGTTGAAGTGCTTCTGGACCGCTTCCGACGGGCCATCAAAATGTGTCGACTTCTTGAAGTATTTGGCGAGACCTTCATAGCCCCAGCCTGGGTTTCCAAGCTGCTCCCAAGCATCGTAGTCTGCATCGGAACCTCTGTCCCATTGCATACCGTTCACCACGGAGCCTCCACCCACAACGTTGCCCACGTGTACCATCCAAGTCTTATTATGCATGAAAGGCTCTGGAGCAGATGTGATCGGATAGTAGTTGTTGACATTGATGTTGGCGAAATAGGGTATACTTGTTGCGGGCCTATCATCAATCTCCGCATTTTCAATGACAAGAGCCGTTATTGCAGAGCATGAGCGAGGCCCCGGTGCTATCGACAATCAGAAGTCCTCGGTCAGGCGGTTGGCAACGAACAATCCGCTGAGCCCGCCTCCTACAATGATGTAATCATATGTGTCGGGTACCACTTGAGTTTGGCGAGTGTTGCTGACAGCAGCCGTGGACGCCTTAAAGAAGCCCAGGAGCCAGATCATTGACAACGAGGTAATTAAAGACATGGCGCGAGATTACCAGCTTACGAACGTGATGCGATAAAGCTGTGCCAGTTCACATCTCGTGGAAGGGTTTAGATTTATGTCTGTCGCTTTCCAGACGGCATTGAACTCGGCACCTGGCTTTACCCATACCTCAGGCTAGAGCCCAGATGCTGCAGTACAGTATACCTACATGTACCTCGGTAGGAGGCGACACATGTGTCAGAGAAACAGCGCTTTGAGTGAGGTAACTCAGGCGAGTTACTATACTTAGAAGATAGTTGGATGCGGTTCATTTCGGAATTTACTCAGTCCGGTGATGAAATGTTGGTTCAAAATCCTCCTCGGTGTCTTCGCAGGTGAGACGCAACTTGGCGCTAGTGTGGGCCAATGGCGGGTGAGGTCTGGGTGGGGCCGTGGCTGGCAGATTCGGCGACAGGCTCTCATCTCACACCGCATGATAAAAGGAGGCCGCGGACATGCTGCGTCTGCCCGACACGCCAGCTTTCTCGTTCGCGGGCGCATGAAGGCGACTGAGTTGCGAGTAGTAACTCAGGGTACATGGGGGCCCGTTTTTTCGGTGCATGTACTTGGGATACAAAATGCGGCTTTCCCGACCCTGTTACCTAAGTAGGTAATCTTGTTAAAGCAGGTGAGATTCCTTGGCCCTTGATTGCGACCAATGACACCAACAGCCAGCCATGTTTCCCCGCGTATAAATACGAGCGGTCCTTTTCACTAGAATGTACAATCACCGAGGCCTGTCGTTCGCAGTAGTATCACGTCATCACCATACTTGCCCAAAATATGATACGATCATCATGCTCAGAAACTGCGTCTCCGTGGATTAGCAACAAACACCAACACAGGATTCGCAGAACGTCCAAGACACAATGTCGACATCTACGGCCTGCTTTTAGCACCATCATGAGACTCCATGACCAGAATCGGTAGCCTTTCTTCGCTCCGCCTGTCCAACGCATATCCAAAATGCCAGATTCTGGAAGCCTACCAACGACACATCGCGAACTGATCGTGGTATCAATCTGCATGATCCTCCTCAGCACTTTCTTCACGGCATGGCGGCTAATCATTAGGTGGAGAATGTCTCCGTGGATGCGAACAACCGACTGGCTGATGTTAGTAGGAGCAGTAAGTATACAACTGATCGGTATAAGAGCGCGGATTAAGCTGATCAAGGCTCATAGATACTGAACAATGCTTCCATGGCCACTACGATCGTGTGTGGATTAAATGGCGTAGGCCGTCTCTTACATGATCCTTTTTGGCAACCTAATGCGGTCGACAAGATGGTCTATCAAAATCGCCTCATATTTGCAAGCCAAGCCCTGAACGTCTATGGCATGTGGGTTGTGAAGATGTCAATTTGCACATTGCTTCTCGCGCTGAACTTCTCAAAAAGGTATCGATGGGTTATATGGGTTCGTACAAGCCATCCTGATGCTCGCATATTATCCAAGGCTGACGCCTGGGAACCTAATAGGGAACCATAGTATTCGCGACCATGTTCAATTTATTACTACCCGTTGTCCAACACTTTGGTCTCTGTAGACCTTTCTCATCACGCTTCGATTTCCGTGTCACAAAGAAGACGTGCTGGTCACCGGCAGCCAGTGATCGGAATGGTCTGGTCTGGTCTGGTCTGAGGGTACAGACCAGACCAGACCAGGTGCTTACATAAGGACCGGTCCGACCAGACCGGTCCGACCAACAAGACCGCCAAGAATGAGGCTGAAGCAAAGAAGGAAGCCGAGGAAATGTGTTTTACTACTGACTGTCAATCTAGTCGTCTTCGTTCTCACTATCCTCGATATCGCTGTTCCCCTCAGCTTGGGGCTTTCCATACCAGGCCCGGAGACACTCGCACGCTTCTATAATATCTGCCTTCAGCCTACCACGGCGATCGACGATAGTAAGCTTCGCGCTACTAAAAAGACGTTCGCATTCATCCGACATAGGCGAGATCGCAAACATGTCTAGAGCGAAGCGAGCGAGATCTCGTTGGGAGTCGTAGCGAGATAGCCAGTACGCAATAGCCTCATTGCAACCTGCCTCTTCGTTATGAAGCCGGTCAGTAGAGATGTATTGTTCATACAAATCAGTTGTAGAAACTGGAGCGTCTATTCGAATGCGCTTATGTTCCCGCTGGCGATCAAATGCTGGGTCAGGATCTCTCTCCTTCCTGGCTGGTGGTGGCAGCATCTCGACAGGGTACCTTCCCTTATACTCTGTCTCCCAGAGATGCTTCACCGCTAATTGTGCGTTTTCAAACCACCTCTTCTTCTCTTCGTCGCCATGAAGAACCCACTCTTGCCTGAACCATCCCCACTTGCGATATGGATCAAGGATTTGAGCCGCATAATATGCCGGTGGAAGGTCAGTATCTTCAGGGAATCGATTTTGCCAATTCAGCTGCTGATTGTTATAGTACTCAACGCACTTTAACCAAGCAGCATCAGCGCAGCCTTGAATGTACTTCCATGTAAAGTTGTTATCGTCCTCAGTGTGGATGTCGTGGTAGTGATCCTTCGTCTCGCTTATCTCCCGGAGAAGGCAGTCCAAAGTTGAAAACCAGTCCGCAAGTGACGTCTTCTTACCTTCAGAAAGCAAAGTTGCAGCATAGAAGTCTTTGAGAGCGAGTTCAATCTTTTCAAGCTCAAACCAGTGCTGTCCATCAAGCTTAAAGTTCGCGATCCCTACGGAGCCCTTTCCAGGTACATGACGAGCCGAGAAGAGCTCTAAACGTTCTCGAACATTTAATGCACGTGTAATCGAATAAAACCATGAGTTCCAGCGGGTCGAGTTGTTCTGGATAAGCTCAAGCCCGTCGAATTGCGAAAGATCTCCGCCGATAATAATTGTAGCAAACTCCTCACGCCGTTGTGGAGTAAGCCTGATGTATCGCACCAGGTTGTGAAGACGACCCAAACATCCGAACTTCTTCCAGAGCTCTTCCACCCA